GTGTCCAGTACTAACCTGTGAAGATGGCGCCTTGATGCAGGTACCTCGAAGATGGAGCTGGAGCTATGGCGCCACAGGTAAGTACCTCTGGCCTCCGCCAGCCATCTCTCTCCAACGCTACTACTACCAGCTACTAGCGCCCTGCGCTGAAGACTACTCCTGCAGCTATGAGCGCCCAGCGCTGAAGACTACTGCTAGCGCTAACTACTACTGCAGCGCTCCTCCTAAGTGCTGCGGCCGAATCCTGAAGACTACTCGTGCCTACTGTCCAACTACCTACCCGTGTAGTGCATGGGAACTACCTATGTACTACTCGGCCTGCCTCCTGACTGCAGGGCGAGGCAGTCCAGGAGGCTGCTCTTGCCAATGCCGAAGGGAGTCAGGGGCTGCCGCTGCAGCTCCTGCTTGAGGCTGTCGTGGGAGCAGGCTAAAGATGGACTGTTCCCGAAACCCTGGTGTTGTGCCTGAGTATTAGGGTAGGTCGATCTTATGAGGGCCCGAAAGTGGCCCTCCGTTTCAGGCTGAAAAGCCCTGTTATAGGCTGAAAACGAAATAGGGCCTGCAGGCCCTCGTTTTCAGTTTCAGGCTGAAACGACGTGGGGCCTGTAAGCCCTTATTTCTAGGCTTTTAGGCTGAGAATGCGGGGCGGGCCCTGCAGGCCCGTGTGGCTACGCAGTATGCCACACACACACACGTGCGCATAAAAAACAAGCACGTGTACCTGTTGAGCGCATAGGGTATAGTCACGCATACCCCAGCGAATGGGCGATGCGCACGCAACTGTCGCGGTGCATGCACATCGCCCATGTGCACACGGCGCACGGCGCAGCGCACAACCCCTAGTTTGTTGTGCTCTTCTCCCTCTCTGCCTACGAGCTCTGTTTGACGATATATATATATTGTCACATATATATAGTCAAACAGAGCTGCCCGGTAAACCGTAGGCAGAGAGGAAGAAGAGGACAACAAACGAGGGGCTGTAACAAACTGTTTTGTCGGAGTTTCACCGACTCGTTATATCGTCAAACAGATTTATATAGATAAATAGATAGATATAGATGTCGTCCAACAGAGCTGCCCGGTAAACGGTAGGCAGAGAGGGAGAAGAGCACAACAAACGAGGGGTTGTGACAAACTGTTTCGTCAGAGTTTCACCAACTCGTCAGGAGGCTACATATGACGATATATACACATATATATATATACATATTGCCACATAACTATTGACTAAGAGCGTAAGCATGTGAAGTAGAAGAAGAAATAAAATAAGCAAAAAATAGGAAAACGGCTAGAAAACATCAACAAGAGATGGAAGTTCATCAACAACTGCAGCAACTACAGCAACAGGACCATCCAAACAGTTCGCATAATGGCCAACACACGCAGCACACACAACCAGATGACTGCTCAGAGGTTCAAAGCCTACAACTGCGACTCCACACCTTTGCTACACAACGTTGGGAAGGAACATGAATAAGAGGAAGGTTGACAAAGCTACAAACGAAAGGAACAATGGACAAAAAAATCTTTAGTATGGCTAGAGCACGCTCGCACAGAACAACCATCGAAGCGCTATACGACCCGCAGACCAGTAACCAAGACATCGTCACCTCCTCCCCCCACTGCTTGCAGATAGCGAGGTCCTTTTTCAAGGATCTGTTCACTTCAAGATGTGCACAGCAGGAGAGGAGCGTCAGGGAGATGGAAATGAAAGATTCCATGAAACCACTGGAAAAAACCCTAACGGGCCAGCAACAAACATATCAGGATCATCCCCTCTCCAAGGACGAAATCTGGACGGCAATGATGCAGATGGATGAAGAAAAGACCCCGGGCATCGATGGATTTCCCAAGGAATTCTGGGAGACCTTCTGGACCCAAATGTCCCCGGACCTCATGGATTTCTATCGCCATATGTGGGATACAGGGAGGATGGGGGAGTTGGTGGGGCAAGGTATCCTCACCCTGCTGCACAAAAAGGGGGACAAAATGAACATTAGGAACTACCGGCCGATAACGCTACTCACAGTCGTCTAAGAGATGCTTGCAAAAGCCCTGGCAAACCGACTGATTTCGGTCCTAGACGACATTATTCACCCAACGCAGACTGGTTCCGTCAAAGGATGCAGAATTCAGGATAATATCCTCTTAGTTAATGAACTTCTCAAATTAACTAGGCAAGATAAGCAGAATGTGGTTGTAGTAATCATCGATTTTGAAAAAGCTTACGACCACGTGGACTGGCTATTCTTAGATAAATGTATGGAAAAAATTACTATCAGACCAGTATTCCGACGATGAACCGAAATACTACATCATAACGCCACTACGTGTGTCCAAGTCAATGGAAGGTTGGCGCCGGCTTTTCCGCCGCAACGATCGGTTCACCAAGGGGACCCTTTGGCACCCTTCCTCTTCATCATAGGGATGGAAGCGCTGGCAGCGAACCTCCACGCCAATAAAAACCTGAGGAGACTGCAGATCTCCGCTATCCCAGAAGACGCGATCCCTGTTTGCCCGATGTTTGCTGACGACCAGACTCTTATGATACATGCCATTGCAGCAAACATGGAAGAAATTAGGAGATTATTATCGATTTACAGCAGCTTCAGACATGACGGTCAATTGGGGAAACAAGACCTTGCGGTGGTGGATCCACCATCAAGGGGTGCACCCATCGGAGCTGCCACGGGTCAAATGGCTCCCGGAGATGGCCCCGGTTAGAGTGCTGGGAATTAGGTTGATGACATTAGGTAAGCCCGCATCGAATGATGAGTGGATCCTTAAGCCGGCTCTAGAAAAAATAGCCAACTGGAAAGACCGGCACACCTCCCTTATCGGCAGAGCGCTCGCGATCAATAATGTAGTACTAGCGGCCTTGTGGTATAAATATGCAATTTGGACACTCAGCAAGGAGGCCGTCCGATCACTAAAAACGCAATTAGCGGCCCTACTGTGGAGGGGTAATGGTGAACTCTCGAATGTTATTAGCAGAGTTGCCTGGTCAGCAGTGATCCAACCCAAGGAAAAAGGGGGGCTAGGGATCCTTGACCCAGATACCCAGATCACAGCACTAACCGTCCAGTGGGTTAGGAGACTACTTCTCACGGAGCACCTCTCATGGCAAGCCTTGGCGATGGAACAGATAGCCAGACTTGCCCCACAGGTACCGCAAGGAGTTAGCCCACTGACCTGGCTGGAAGATCGCTTTTGGACTGTGCCGCGGTGCCCCCATAGAGAGCGAGACTCACCCCGAGGTACCGCCCGTTCGGACCTGGTCAGAGACGACTTCTGGACCCGAGTCATCAAGGCCTGGCGCCAACTCCCGTTGCCTGATCAACCCCCACCAACCAGGTGGGAGTAGGTGATGCGCCAGCCTCTTTTTGGGAATAGGAGGATAACAGATCGGTACAGCAGAGTATATCATAGCTCAGACACCCCGTGGAACAGTTGGGTCAAAAAAGGC